TTTTCACAGGTCTCTCAAAGTTCAGGAGAGCATATATATACTAGACAATAATACTTGTATGTGGGCGTAACTCTCGAGTATCTCCACGTAATCGTCACCCTTTTGTATGCACAGGGTCTTTTTTTTTTGATTGCTTGCTGTTTTAGCAATAGTTTTGGTTGTTTTTTTTCTATGATGGAGCAGGACAAAAGATGTTCACCTGACCTCTGTCATTTTTAGAATTGCCAAAGTTTGTCTTGCGGGCGGAAGACAAAAGAGACTCGCGTCATGGGGATCGGGGTTTTCTTCAATTCCTCTGCTGGGCTATCCCGGCATTTTCCACCCTCAGGCATTTTCTATCCTGGCATTTTCCACACTGTTAACCTCTTCCAACTTTTGTATATGAGCCTGATGCCATTGAAATAAAGCAAGGTTATTGACAAAAATAAAAAAAATAAAATAGAACAAATAAAAGGAAAATATTTTTTTACAGTTTGTAAGTTCTATAAGTGGCTATATGAAGCCCTTCGCGAATTACTCTCCTAAAAGCTATTTCTAATTTATTATTTCAAATATGAGGGAATTAATTACTGTACATTCAATGCATTAATAACTACCCTTGGACAATTGAGGGTTCCCTGGCCATCCTACATCAAAGTTGGGGGTTGCAAATTTCAGTTTGACCAAAGGTCACTGACATGCACCCAGTTTGTGAGGGCCAAAGTTTAGAAAAATATGGGAAGGGTGAATCCTTTTGTATTCAAAAATCTCTAATGTTAACCATATGCAAGGAAATCCTTAAGAAAATCCACCCATCCAGTGAGGATTTATTTTTCATTGTTGTGGCACATTTTTTCTGCAGGATTAAGAAAAATATATTGAACTTTTTCCCAACTTAGGCCTTGGTGCAAAAATTGAGTTTTTAAAATTATCGGTGCTGCTCATGGGCACAACATTTTGTCAAAATATCCAAACTTTGTCACCCAAGAGTCAGGTAATTTGCAGAATCATATTTGTGAGTTTGCACAAAATGTTACTTCTTTCTTTGCTAATCTTGTTATACAGGGAGATTCTAACGCGTGGGCACCCCATACAACTGGACAATTTGGCTTAGGGACACTCAAAACTTTGAAAACATGTGACCCAACATCTGGACAATTATGGCTTAAAATGAGACTTTGCCTAGATTTTCCATTAAATTATCTTTTTGATATCTCTTGAAAAAAATGTAGCTACTATATTAATATTCACAAAAATTGAAAATAAATTTTATTGTACCATGAATTTATTGTAATTCATACTAATGAAAGGCAGCCCAATTTTGTTCTGCTTTTTTCTGAGTTTTTTCTATCAGTTGTGCACATTACAGCAAGAATTATTCTTGTTCTTTGCTTTTTGAGAAATTTTTGGTGCCAAAAGATTCAGATTCTATTAGGTGATTTTCTTCTGTACAGTTTTTCCTTTATCTTGAAGTTGAAAAGCAGATTTTTATTAATTTTTGTGGACTTTATTCCTAATTTTTGATGAACTGGAGAACCAATTTTAATTGTTGTTCCCATTGGAAAAATGAGATCTGGCATGCAGATGATATGACACATAGGGACAATTGTATTTCCTTTTATTTTTGTTATCAATTTGTGCTCTGTTTCCTGCTCTGAAGTGATTGAATGTCTTTGAGTGGATTTGGGTTGGGTGGGGAGGGGGTTTGGATGTGGAAATCTTGATTGAACCTTGTGAATGCTGAAAAGCAGCAAATAAAGTGTTCTGCTCATTCATTCACAGTTTCTTGGGATACCCAGAAAATTTCACCTAAATAACCAACCCGTAAGTACGAGGAAATCGCAGAAAACAGTTTCCTGGGCTATTTTTTTCTTCCGGTCGAAATTAATCCCGAGTCAATGCATATAACACTTCAAAAAACTTCGACAAAACTTTTTCCTACTGTCTCGTCTTTCCCCGTACATCACATAGACACACACACACACAGAAAAAACCAACCTGATCGTGTGAAAGACTACGAAGGTGAGTCAAGGCTTCGGCACATTCAAATTTGGAGAGCTTTAAATACGCAGCCCCGAGGTCTTGAAACAAGGACATAAGACCCGCAGCTGACTGACGTTGAGCCCGATTCGCAAGCTCCACCACATCCTTCTCTTCTTCAATTATGGCCGCAGTTTTCTCCAGGTTCCTCACGTTTTCCACTGCTACTGGGATCGGTTCCCTGTTGTTGGATTGCTCAGCTGATGAACCACCTGCGAGAAAGTGGAATCGATTAAAGGATAATGAGCGAGACTAAATTTCGAGTTATTCACGCAACAATAAATGCGAATTCACGCAGATATTGTCCAAAAAAAAATAAAAATAATGTTCTCAATCGCTCAGACTGAAAAATATCGCGTTCAAACTACTTTACCAGTGAACAAAAAATATGTTGAGAACTCAATATTTTACTCTTTTGCTGGCAAATACTGTACTCAAAGACTTGAATGGTGTTCCATTTTTTGTCTTTCCCTTTTTTCTCAGGTCCATTAAAAAGCGAATTCCTTCTTAAAAATAAATTAAAAAGTGAAAACTAAACCTCACACACACAGGCTTCATCAATTTCAGTCAAATTCTATTACGTTGCCACCCTTGGCAAATTTTGAAAAACAAATCTTACCCAATGATAAAAAGGGAAACCCTTCCAAAACGCTGTCCGCCAAAATTATACCAAACAATTCTATAATCAAGCCTATTTTCCCTATGCTGTACAGTAAAATTTTGTTACAAATCTTGCTACAGTAAAATCTTGTCACAACAAACTCCTGGGAACCTGAGAAAAAATTAGCTGTATCAAGATTAATGATTTTCAGCACATTTCAGACAGCAATTTTATTGGAAATGGGGAATACATTCATTGAAATGCTTCTAAAACACAGAAGTCAAGACCAAGCATAATTAGTGATTCCTTCTGATGAAATGAAGAGAAGTCCATTAATATATAAAAGTACTCTCGTTTAAATAAACAAACATTTGTACTGGAGTATTGCTGGTCATGAAAAATGAAAAAAAAATTACATATGGTAAACATTCTCAATTTCCTTCTCAATCAACTTATCCACTCATGGTTCTTTCTGAAATAGTAGAACATTCTTACAACATACTGTTTATTTCAAAAAGGCATATTCTAAAATGGATGAGTTAAAGAAATTTCAAAAAATATGTCCTAGCTGTTGTGCATTTTCTGGATAGCAAGTTTTCTTTGCATACAGATTTTTTTATGAAGTTGTAAATTTGTAATGTTGCAGTTTTTAATTTTTCCAACAATTTCTGCAATTTCTTGAGTATTTCGTATATGGGCTGTGCACATAAACATGGCAAAAATTCGTTACAATGCAATTACAGCCTAAAATTATTTTGATACATTATAACGAAATTTTTATAACATTACGCCATTGGGAAGCTGCCAGGACCAAGAAAACAATTTGTTATAAAAAAATTCTTTACAACAAGATTTGTTATAATGGAAATCTACTGTATAACAAATTCTTCATGAAAACATTTTTTTCTCGGTCTCAGCAGGTTCTCCATAGGCGTAATTTAACAAAAAATATCCTTGAAAAAAACTCATTTCAGGATATGATCTCAGTAAAACAAAATTTTGGCCCTGATCCTGGACACAGACCATAGGGATTATTCGATAAATGGCAGAAAAAAGAAGATATTTAACTGGTTCAGCATTCCAACCTCATTAAAGAAGAAAAACTTTCCATCGAGAAAAGTTAGTGTTGAAAAAATTCACAACATCATATACTACTTGAAAATGCTTCAGTTCCACTTCAGAATTTACGCATTTCTTCTTGAATAATAAACATTGCGTTGGAAAGAATTTTTCCGAAGGGGTTTTCCCAGAATAAATACGTTTCCACAAAATTCCAGTCTACGATGCGTCAAGAAACATGAAACTCACTACAACACAGTTTTCGTTTACAGATAACGAATTTTTATATGGTCTCTGGGAGTTTATGTTGTCAAAAAATATATTTTTACAGCAGAAGCACTCAACCAAACTTTCCTCAATAGAATACAGTACCCCCAATATTCCACAAAAATATACTAGGACAAATGACAGCAAAGTATTTCCCATCATGGCCGCCTAATATCGCCTCCTCACACAACAGAAGAAAAAAAAAAAGGGGGCGAACCTTTATTTTCATTTTCCGAATCGGACCGATGCCTGGGATTCACACCCCTCGTCTTGAGTCGCTTGGGTAACGCAGAGCCACACGCAGTGGACCTCGGGACGCGAGACTTCAACGCCAACTTGTTCTCCTTGGTCACAGCCGCCGGTTGGAGCCGGGCACTCCGCTTCAACGGCGGCTGTTCCGCCACTCGCGGCACGTCGTCCGGCTCGGCAAAATTGTTGGTCTGGCTCACAACCAACGGACTGCTTCGCAAGGGATGCGGCTGCAAATCCTTGATGTTGGGCGACAACTTGGGCGTTTGCGTCGTCGGACACGAAATCTCCACGTAGGACGCGTTCAACACTGCCGGCGACTCCGTCGGCAACAGAAGCGCCCCGAAGCTATAAAAAAAAAAAAAATTACAATCTCAAGTTCCTTGAAAATTTTCATTAAAAAAAAGGACAACTTTTCATCCTGTTGCCTTTACAATTGACCTTCAAATTTCTGGGCAAAATATAGCTTGACAAGTCAGGAGTAACGTTGAAATACAGTGAGACCCCCACATGTGGACATATATTTTTCAATAAAAAGGGTATTAAAAAGGCCCGACATATGGACACTGACTAAGCATGAGGACATTGCATGATAAAATTGCCAATAAATTTCACAAAAAATGACCTTCATTTGGCTTGATTGCAAGGAACAGATGTTTCCAACCCCAAGATTTATGCAAGAAAAATTCTTTGTCATTTCTCCCATCATTTTCCCATTCATTCAACTGATTAAAAAAATATTACCTATTGCAAAGTGGGATTTCCTTCTCTCTTTGGGACTTGAACGTTATTTTTGAAGATGCCAACATTTCAATGTATATTACAGAGATACACTCTTCAATTGCTCCAAATTTTCTTATTGAGTTGAAAATATATTCACTGAACCAAATTCAAGCGGCAAATAATTTTTTTCATGGAAATCTGAAGAATATTTCTTCCATAAAACGCCAATTAAAAATTATATAATGTAAGTCTATGAAAAAAAAAAAATTTGACTCAGGGATAATTCAACTTAGGGACACTCTTGATGCACGAATTATGTCCGCATCTGGGGGTCTCACTGTATTATAAAACCCTCACAAAAATGTCACAACAGACTCGCTTTCAAATTTATCTTTCAAGAAATACACAAGAGGACGGTAATCTGAAGAACTCGGCACAAAGGTAACTAAAAACAAAACCAAAAAATTACCGGGATTAATTTCAGAAAAAATTATTAAAAAAAATACTGTACTCACGCAGGTTTCCGCTGGTTGACAGGAGTGAGCATTTCCAACTGACGCTTTCGAAGATTCACCACTGGAGACGATGAGACCACAGTGCCTTTAACTTTGCACGGAGCCGCTGGAAGCCAACATTTGTTCACCTCCTGCATCGGAGTCCTGACAATTTTTAAAAAGAAAAGAACAGCATACATTTATAAATGTTCACGACCTTCTTGAAATAATACGCGATCAATTTATTATAAATGTTCACGACCTTCTTGAAATACTACGCGATCATAAACTAATCTACATTTTGTTGAAATAAGCGCACAGAACAGGAAATTGCTCCCTATAGTGCTTCTCTTTTTAAAAGGTCCATTGTGGTGGGCTAATTTTCACGCCAAAACTGGAAGATTCTGCAAAAGTTTGTTTCCTCTTATGCCCAGATATTTTCTTTGCTTAAAGGTCGAGGAAAACATTATCCATCGTAATTCTTTCGAAGGCAAAAATATATTCTGTTTTTTTCCAAACACGAGAAGTGATTGAAATAATTACTCAAACGGGAGGAAAAATACAGGAAACGCAAATTAAAAGGGAAAAACATGAATCACACAGCGAAATTCTTTGGCCCGAAAAACGCACAAATTTCAATACGCTTTCAAGCAAAAGTCAAGTAATTTTTCTTTTAAATTCAAGAAAAACAAGGAAAGGCACAGTTTTGCATCTTTTAGTCTTTACAATTTGAGAAATTCAGACATTCATGATCAAGACTTGTAAGGATAACTTCAACTTCACAATTCTCTGCGGAATAAATGCACAATTTTGGTGAAAAGCTGGAAACAAATGGAAGAAATTACAACTTGATCTCCAGGGAAAATGCGTGTCACGTCATGAAACTCATCAAAGAACGCATGAGTTCCATTAAGCAAGGCCCCCATGGGGCAAACAAGTCCTCTTCAACTTCCCAAAGATCAGCACTTTTTTTAAATTTAAAAGTACTGAAATTCAATGAAGAGACACTTCTGAAATCTTAAAGGATCAAGATAAACTGTTGGCATTATATGATTTCTCATCAAAGATTCTCTCTAAATTGTTCATTCAACTAA